GTGTGTATCAACGCTATAAACGTTAGGAACACTGTTGAGGTGATTGTTTAAATTATATTCTCCTGTTCTCAGTGTTTCACTTGGAGTGAAGAAAAAGATTCACTTGAGAGAAACAATTTCTGGAGGATATTTATAGGGGACACAGCCACCCTTCTGGCCTGCATGGGGAGACTCCATGACATCACCGTCCCTCCACCACAGAGGTTACCCCCACTCTGCCTCCATGGCGCCTGCTTGTCAGCAGCCTACACAGCCAGTCCTCCCACTCATGACGTGCTTCCTGCACCATCCAAGTCCATTTCAGCCTTCCTTCCCCACAGTCGCTGTCCTAGTTTGAGTCGCCGTCAGCTTTGCCCGGAGGGCTTGACAAGCTCCCAGTGGGTCTCCCACATTCACTCTCCCCCAGACGCTGCAGCCCAAGTCATCTTTTAACACTAAGAAATATTGTCTAGATACCAAAAATATATTTCTACAAATAAGGTAGGAAAAAATGACAAAGACGTCCACCATGTATCCGCCAGTCAGTTTAAGAAACAAAATATATGGCCAGGCGCAGTGGCTCAAGCCTATAGTCCCACCACTTTGGGAGGCCGAGGCAGTAGGATTGCCTGAGCCCAGGGGTTCGAGACCAGCCTGGGCAACTTGGTGAGATTTCATCTCTACAATCAATCAAAAAATTAGCCAGGCATGGTGGCGTGTGCCTGTAGTTCCAGCTACTTGGAAGGCTGAGGTAGAAGGACTGCCTGAGCCCAGCAGGTTGAGGCTGCGGTGACCATGAGCTTGCCACTGCACTCCATCCTGGGCAACAGAGTAAGACTCCAACTGAAAAAAAAAAGAAAGAAACAAAATATTTTCTACTGGGTGTGGTGGCTCACACCTATAATCCCAGCACTTTGGGAGGCCAAGGTGAGAAAATTGCTTGAGGTCAGCCTAGGCAACAAAGTGATCACTCATAAATGGACCCTGAACATTTTCTATAATACTATAAGAAAGGGATTGGCAGTAGTGAGAAACTGCCAGGGGAGGGTGGGCGGTGGAGCACATAACATCAATAAGGGCACCTGATCTCATACCAGGCAAAGTGGGGATCAAAGGGAGGCCCAAACTTTACCCTACATCTTTAAAATTAATTAACTAATTAATTAAAAGACAAAGCGAGACCTCATCTCCACAAAAAATTAGCTGAGTGTGGTGGCACACACCTATATCTCAGCACTTTGGGAGGCCAAGGCAGGAGGACTGCTTGAGGCCAGAAGTTTGGGACCAGACTGGGCAACATAGTGAGACCTCGTCTTTCCAAAAAAAAAGCCCGGCATGGAGCCTGCAGTCCCAGCTACTGTGGAGGCTGGGGCAGGAGAATCACTTGAGCCCAGGAGGTCAAGGCTGCAGAGAGCCGTGATGGTGCCACTGCATTTCAGTCTGGACAACAGAGTGAGACCTCAACTTAAACGAATGAATAAATATTTCTAGACCTCTGTGGTCACATCCTTGCCCGGGAGGAAGGCCCCATCTGAGTTCTATGCGTAAAGTCCCGCACCTTTCTCTAGCTGTATACCTATGTATTCAGCTGTGACAGCAGACCGCTCAGTGCTGCGTGATGTTGAACTCTGTAGAATGGTGCTAGTTGGATGCTTCTGACACACTTTATTTTACTTGACTTTTGTGCATGTTAGTTCACTGTCCCCTCAATTTCCACTGCATGACAGAATTCCAGCTGGTGACTACACCACAAATCATTCACCTACTTCCCTGGTGATAATCACATGGTTCTTTCCAGAATCCTCCCTCCCTACCCCTGGGCCTTTCTTCTTTTTAATCATTTACAAACAGTGCTGTTATGAATTTTCCATTTTAACACCTGGTACAGAATAGCCTACTTGAGAGAGAAGGCACACCTTCTCTGGGTCATAGCAGAGGTTCACAGTCAACTCTCACAGATGACGCCAAACTGTTTTGCAAAGCAGCTGCACCCATGAGCATTCCAACATGCAGTGTGCGAGCACTCCTGTCTCCACACCCTTGCCATCACTTGGTATCGTCAATTGTTTTATTTTTTTGCCAAAATGGAGAGAGTTGCATGTCCTGAGAGCATCATAACATGGTTCTAAGCAGCATTCTCTAATCATTACTAAGGTTATTTCATACAGTTTATTGAGTGTCCATGTTTTCTATCCTGAGCACTTTAAAAAATATGTCCTTTCCCAAGGTGGGACATTTTGTACCATGTGTTCTTTACTACAATAAAAAAATAATTAAAAAATCCTTTTCCAGTTTTATGCGTGAAAAATATCTGCCTCTAGCCTGTAGCTTTCCTTTTCACTATTTTTTACATTTTAACATTAAATTTAATGACTTTATTTTAAAAATTTTAATATAGTTGAATTTGTCAGTCTTTTGTTTTATGTTTAATGCTCTTTGGAGATGGTCTTCGACTTATCTGAGATTTTTCAACTGTACAATGGTGTGAACGATAGGCATTCAGTAGGAGCCAGAGGTCAAGAACCCACACAACCATCTGGTCTCACTTTCAGTACCGTCTTCCACAAAGTATGTGAGCCATTTAGCATCTTACTATAAAATGGGCTTGCATTGGAAGATTCTGCCCGATGGGAGCTCATTTGAGGTAGGCCACTCGAAGGGGGCCTGGGATGCCATGAAGGTTGAGTATGTCTGGTGCACCGTCACCTGCGATGCGTCCACTGGGGTATGACCTCACTTGCTTGCTCGCTCCCGTTCCGTTGTCCTACCAGTCCACCCCACACCAGGGCTGTATTTTCTCCCGACAGCCATCACTGAATCTGGAGTAGGCAAGTCCGCCAGCTTGCCACTGTTCCCCAGCACTGCCGGGCTATTCCTGGGCCACTGCTCTTCATATAAAACCACACAGTCGGCTTGCTGGGATTGAACGCACCAACACACAGGATCACGTGACATTTAACATTTAGGCTAACTGGAGAACAACGGCCGTCTTTTTTATAGAGATCTTCCTACCCACAAACATAGTTCCTTTATTCATCGTTTAGGCTGTTGAAAATATCTCTTAATAAAGTTGGGTCACTTTCTGCAGAAGAAAATACACTTTTTAAAGACTTTTTAGTAGGTACTTTTAGACTTTGTGTTGCCATAATGGTATCTTTTAAATTATTTTCCAATTTGCTGCTCACAAATGGAATTAATTTTTGTTGACTGGCTATTCAGAAGACTTAGAGCTACTCTTAAGTTGTGCCTGTATATAATGAATCATCCACAAATCATGGCAGTTTTGTTTCTTCCTTCCAAAGCTTACATCTTTTGTTTTCCTTGTAGTACTACCCTGGTGAATGTCGCATTGAAAATTCCAATGAACACTTTGGCCCTATTCTTCATTTCTCTGGGGATGTTTGTTATAGGCTCAATGAATGAACTGACAAATGAGGAAATGCAGAAGGTGCTAAGTGGAAGAGGAGCTATCTGTGCAAACCTAAGCGACTCAGACATTTAAAGCAAGTTTTAAAATAATGTCTTTTTCTCTAAACATAGTTGTACTTCTTCTAAAGATCTCTTAGAACAATTTGCACAAATCACTGCGGCTATGGACCATGAGCTGGGGAGATGATCCCAGAGGAGGGATGAGCATATTTTCTCTAAAGGAACCAGGACAGGACAGTAGACTCAGTATCACCTTTTACAGATTGCAAAAAATGCACTACGGATTCTGAGTCAGAATCCAGCTGCCACTATTATGTCATCTTTGTGTATTTGATGATCACATAGAAGAAACCTGGATAGTAGGGAAGTCTGAGTTCTCTTTTAAGAAGAGGCATGGCTACATTGTTACAACACTATAGCTAGAGGCAGGGAGGGCCAGCAACTCCCTCCAGCCAAAACTGCAGCTTGGAAAGCATCCCAGGCCCTCCTAATGTTGGTCTTCCTAGGACTTTACTACTTACTGGTCATGTTATAACTACATGGAGCTTAACTCACATCCAAAAAGAATATTAGATGAACACAAACACACAGAAGCCCAAAAGCAGGCGAATCAAGCAATGAATGCCTTATAAGCTGGAAAGAGCTAGTCAAAACTAGGTCATTGTTATTATTTATTCCATGAATGGTTAGATTATTCTTATCACTACAAATTTCCACTAATACAGAGCATCAAAAGCTCAACTGTATACAGCACTAGAACAACAAATTATATGTAAGATCAAAAAGCAGGTAATTAGGGCCAGGTATGGTGACTCACACCTGTCATCCCAGCACTTTGGGAGGCAGAGGCGAGAGAATTGCCTGAGCCCAGGAGTTCAAGATCAGCCTGGGCAACATGGCGAGACCTTGCTTCTACAATAAATCAATAAATTAGCCAGGGGTGGTGGCGAGTGCCTGTGGTTCTAGCTACTTGGAAGGTGGAGGCAGAAGGATCATCTGAGTCCAGCAGGTCAAGGCTGTGGTGGCTGTGAGCATGCCACTGCACTTCAGCTGGGTGACAGTGAGACTCAGACTCAAACAAACAAACAAACAAAAAACAGATCATTAGAGCTGGATGTGGTAGCCCACGCTTATAATCCCAGTACCTTGGGAAGTTGAGGAGGGAGGATTGTTTGAACCCAGGTGTTTGAGACCAGCCTGGGCAACATCTCTACAAAAAAAAAAAAAAATTAGCCAGGCATGGTGGTGTGTGCCTATAGTCCTAGCTACTCAGGAGGCTGAGGTGGGAGGATCACCTGAGTTAGGAGGTCAAGGCTGAGGTAAGCTGTGAGCATGCCATTGCACTCCAGCCTGGCTGGCAGAGTGAGAACCCTACTCCAAAAAAAATAAAAATAAAAATAAGAAGAATGCATAAAGGGATGGTTGGAGACATCAGATGAGCCAAGCAACGTCCAGCATCTGGCCATGTGAAGCCTCAGCCTACAGGAAAGGACTTCAAGTCCTCCATGGGGAAGGTGGTCACAGGTGGTCACAGCCTACAGATACCCAGCAGAGCCATCCACGGCAAACAACACAGCTAAATGTGGACTCACAGTGTTCGGAACATATGGCAAGCCATAAAATTTCTCCTGAGTCTCCTTGAGAATGTCTGTGGTTGAACTCCTCAGGGGGTGCTTCCCGTGGTAGATTTGATCCAGTGTGGCGTAGAAGACCTGGAGGAGGGAAACGCCTGTTGAGTGCTGGAATCCATCCTTGCATCTGAGAGGCGGTGGCCCGGAGATGCTATCAGCGCCCCGGAGTGACAGTATAAATCACAGCTGAGACTTTCACCAAATAAACCTCGATGGCTCAAGGCGTCCTGCGGACCACACTTAAGACCACATTGAAGATGCAAAGGAGCGCGCTGCATCTTTTCCTGATAGGGACACTGAGGAACTCTGGACCACATCCATAAGGCACTCCTCATGGACAATGCAATGAGTTAAATCTGTGACTGCAAGCTGGAATTCTGCCAACATATATGTAGTTATAAATTTAAAAAGGGGGGGTGGACAGCTTTGTGAGCTCCTGTTTGATTCCTCCTAGAATCCCGACATGCCCTAAATGAGAGCAACGGAATGGTCAAGGTCCTCGGCTTGTGATGAAAGGCAGAAGAAAATCAAGCGGGCAGCTGAGGGTAGAGAAAAGAAAAGCAGCTCGGAACAGAATCCCAATGTGCTGCCAGAGGGCCCGGTGGCATTCCGGAAGCAGTGGCATTCCGAAGCAGTGGGAAATGGCGGCTGTGTGTGGGCCACCTCGGCTCCACGTGGTGGCGGGAGAAGGCACACTCATCTCTGGTGGGGGATACAGGCCATTGAGACAGAGAAGGAAGCGCTACTGCGTGTCTGTACATGAAACCTGTCGCTTACCAAGTGCTGGAAAGTAAATTTTGCATAGAAATCAAGTCAGGGGACAGCGCTTCTCATTACAACATCTGACTTGAATACTGTTTTTGAATATTGACTTGAATATTCGACAATATTGTTTGACACTGTTTGAAGTCCACCTGATGTAAGGAAGTAGCAAATGCTTTATTTAAAATTCTGATGTGCAATTATGCTTCTAATGTGTAGCTTTCTGATTCAGAAATGGGATTTCTGCAAGTCCAGCTGCTGACTTGAAAGTGAGAATTAGTCTGGATAAAAGAAAAAATTTAAATGGCCTCCAGCTTCTGGCTCCATCTGGATATGGAATTATGGTTCTAAATTATAAACTTAAGTTTAAACCTTCCCTAGAACAGTCCAGACTTTCCTAAATATAAATATTGCTTTCCTCTAACTGGTAATCTAAACATATAGCTAAATACAGCTCTTTCTGTTCCATATTCTATAATGAGTGACAATGCGGAAGATAATAAGAGAAGCCAGAATTACTCATCCATACTCAAACAAAGTAAATTATCAGGAACTGAAACTCTTAGATTCTAACCTCAGCTTGGGTGTTACTTTGTCCCATGTATAAACAAATCAGAATTCAAGATTTTCATGTATCTCCAATTAAGCCTTTTACAAATGCTATAAACCTAGAATGACTTTCTTGAACTATAAAACAAAGCAAAATAAATGACATGCGCCTTCACTGTGTGCATATCTGCTGACAGACTCAATAGTCCTAAAGCGATTGGGCCTCTCTGCCCAGCCAAGGAGCAGCACATTCCTGGGCCCAAGAACTACAGACCGCAGAAAAAGCAGCCTATTTTTAAGACAATGAATAGTTTTAAAAATTTACAATTTTATAAACACATTTATGCCCCTTAGAAAGCTGGAACAGTCCACGTCCTCTCTACCCTTTTCTCCACCGTGCAAGTGTACTGTGAGTGCCAACACAGGCCACAAGTCAGGCAGGATTCACATTCTCTCTCACTTTTGCTCTCACCCTCGTTCTCTCTCTCTCTCTTTTCTCCAGAGGCCACTCTCTTTGGAGAGTGGGAGGAGAAAAGGTTGGTTTTCCATCTTAAAGGGAAATTATTGAAATAACCATTCAATAAGAAAGCCACGATACAGACTCTGAAAAAGCAGGTCTTCTAAAGATGCTAGCAAATCAAGAGACTTTTGCCAAGTAATATTAATCTTTAAAAATAATCCAGAAGTCCTTTTTGAATTATATTGCTATCAGTAGACACCGAATGATATAAATCAAATATAAATTCATGATTTTGTCTACATAATGGATTTTCTTCAGTGAAAGATATATGTTAAGGTATAATAAAAAGAGAGCTCATTCATGACTTTCTAGGGACTGGACTTCACAAGAGTACAAATACAAAGCAATTAGCTCGTGCTTACAGGCTGAACTAGGCAACTGGATGGTTATAAAGAGAATATTGCCTACAATGGAAGGCAGGTGTGCAGGCTGTTTACTCTCCAGATCTGATGAAGATGAGAATTCCATAAACAACCCAAGTAATGATAGGCATCCAAACATCTGGCACCACGCAGACCTGGCATCCAGATGGGTCATAAAACTGTCCGAGTCTTCCTCTTGAAACCTGGGAGACTGGTTTTGAATATTCTCTAACACCAACAGCAATTACCATTTAAATGTTACATCTAAAAACACGAATTGGCTTAAAAGACACGGGATGAAGAAATGCATATACAACTGGGTTCCCACCCTAACCTGGCTGCGGAAGCGTGTAGTTTAGAAGAGGGCAAGGCACATTGGCTTCCCAAGCCCTGATTTCCCCAGCTTGGTGGGAAGCCATCTTATCTAACATCTGCTTCATGAGAGCCGTGTGAGGTGAGTGAGTCAGCTTTGGCCAGGTTCTCTGAACTCAGATGAAAGCTGCCTGAGAAGCATAATTACCATAATACCCAGGTGTCACTGGAGAGAATTTGAAGTCATGTGTGTGCCAGGAATCAGGACTCTGGAAGCCTCCAGACCAAAGTGCTCACGTACCTGAAGCTGCATGTCAGCTGCGGCGCAGACCTTCTTCGACTCACAGAGACGAGACACCATGGGCCTGGGCAGTGGCTGGACAGAACACAGAAATACACATGTGAGTCAACTGCTTACGAGTCATCACATGTGCGCAGGAAACTCAAAAATCACATCACATGGGAAGACGCATGGTGGAATTTCATTATTAGTTAAAAAAAGAATAACTTTTACATGTTTTGGTTAACAAGACAACATGGATGAAGACACCACTTAATTTCAAAAAAATGGTGGCTGTCCACTGAAAACCCAGGACGGTACAGAATTAAGACACGGGCACTGATCTTGAAACATGATTGCAAGCCTTTTCTGCTCCTCTGTTATGAGTGAGAGGCTGGTCAAGTACTCTCTTGACTTTAAAGTGCATTCAGTAACTGGCAACAGGACTAAAAGAGTAAAATGTCGATACATGATCAATCACGGTGCCAGCCAGCATGAAAGCGGAACTGATGTCTCAGCCAGTGGGCACGAGAATGAACCGCAGATGCTTTTATTTTCCTACCTGAAGGAACCACAGAGCGTGACTCTCAGTTTCATGTCCTGTACGATCTAAGGCTTCTCTGTGGGACTAATGAGGCCTAATCTTGTAACACAGACATCTGATAAGGAATAAACTAATAATGCGGTTAAAGAAGCATTTTGCTCAATGTCACTCTAACATCTTCATCATGACGCTGGCTGAAACAGCAACCGCTCCCTATAACTGCATTTACAGTCGATTTAAGCTGAAAGCCCCACCCCAGAGGAACGCACTATGTGGAGACCAGGGGCCGGCCACCGGCAGGGAGAAAGGGGGCTGTCGGCTGGGAGGGTCTTCGCCACCTGTGTGAGGTCCACTCTGGGCCTAGGACAGGGCCAGCCATGGCAGACATGGGGCGAGTTTGAAAAGGAATGAATGAACACAGGAACGGCTGGGAAGTGGTTTCCTAAGCAAAGGACCAGTCGTGTTTGATGACTGCACAGACAGGCTGCACCAGTGCCGTTCTCTTTCCATTTGGCTCCAGGAAAAGCAAACCGGGCAGGAGAGGCGATTTGAGAGAGAGAGGGTAAGGGCTGCAGGAAGTTGCACCGGTAAACCTGGTCCAGGTCAAAGGCCCAGGGCTTCCGGTCATCATGGGCACCCAGTTTGCATGAAAGAAAAACCTCCCCAAACAGGACTTTAAAAGTCAAGATCTAGTTACATCAAATCTGCCAAAGCTAGTGTCATGATGCTCGGGTTTCTTTTGGTCTTTATATTTTATCCCATGTTGACGGGATTCGCCCCACCCTTCGGAAACGTTTCACGCTTCTCCAAGTTTCAATAGTCTGATTTTCACAAAAAGTATTCGTGGCGGGAGGTCACGTTCTCACTCAGCTGACATGAAGACTGTAAGTGAGCTCTGCATGTGGACGAGGGACACACAGGGACCACAGCAGGGCCTGGCCTGTGTGCCAGCAGGCACTCTTCACCTAAGCACAGGTCCCAGCGCGGGGAAGGTGCGGGCATGAGGGACAAGGCAGACCTTGAAGGCTGCACAAGGAAGGCATGCCCAAGTGGGATCTGCCAAGGAGCAGATGTTCACCAGCCCAGAGGACGGGGGAGGGGAAAAGGGGTTTTTCAGGCAGGAGAAACAGCAGGTGAAGAGGGCTGCCAACAGAAGGCGGGGCCCCTAGAGCCAGGGAGAGAGGATCCATCCCAGAGAGACTGTCCACCCCTCAGCCTCCACCTTGAGGGGGCCACCGGGGAGCCTTAAGGAAATTCCACGGTCAGGCATGTGCTCCAGGAAGATTTCTGTGGCTGCAGTATAGACGTGGGAGAGGAGAGAGGCCAGGTGAGGCGGTACAGACAGTGACAGACAGGACTCCGTGGTCAGCAGCAAGGCTGGGCGGGAGGAGAGGCAGACAGGGGCAGCCCACCCTCCCCGGCTCAGGAGTGGCAGAGCAGTGCAGGGGTGGTGGGAGGTGGGAGGAGGGGATCTGTGTTTGCTTAAGGTTAGGAGATGCTTAAGTGGGTTCACGGGAAGCTCTGCAGCGGGACAAGAGGCAGCACAGCCATGAGAGATGGATTCCTGGAAAGGCAGGAGGGAGGCTGCGCAGGACAGGAGGCCACAAGGGACAGGAGGCCACGTGGGAGAGGAGGCCGTGCAGGACAGAAGGCCACGCGAGACGGGAGGCCTTGTGGGGCACGGGGCCGTGTGGGGCGTGAGGCAGTGCGGGAGGGAAGGCCTGGCTCGGTCAGAGCCTGCGGAGGATCAGCAGGTCCCTGGAGGGGCCTCCTGAGGTCGGCGGGGCAGAGGAAGCTGCGGGAGGGGCTGCCTGGCGGTGAAGGACACTGGACAGCCGAGGTGCGGCCCACTGACAGAAGGCTGGGTCAGGGGTGCCCTGGGGGCCTGGGCGCCTCCCTGCAGGCACAGACTAGAGAGAGGACCACAGGTGGACACAGGGCAGCCAGTGGCAAAGGCACCGGTGGGGATCTGCAAGGGGAGGGAGAAGCCGCCAGGGCCGGCTGAGCCAGCCTCTCTGGAGGCTCACATTGCTCCTAAGCGGACAGTTCCAGAAATGCCAGCACAGGGTCTCGGAGCCAGGCCAAGGCCCCTTTCTCATTTAAGGAACGGCCAGTGTCCTAAAGAGTCAGACCTACATGGGCAGGGCAGACATCACAGGACAAATGAACCGAGCAAGCTCTCTCCTCGCCAGAGAGAAAGAGACAGAGCTTGAAAGGACGACAACGGCCACAGTGGCTCATCAGAAGGGTGCCGTTGGGGCCAGTGTGGGGCACACCTGCTGTGGGACAGTTGGCTGTCTATGACTGGCCAAAGCCCGGCAATTCGCATGAGAGCAGGCTGCAGTCTGACACCCAGCTAGGCAATACCACATGCAGGGAAACCTTCCAGACACACAACATGAGGCAGCCTCGACTAACTGCATAGGAGGGAAGCCCAGTACATGCCTCATTCTAATTGCTATGGGCTGGGGTCTCCATCCTTATCCGAAATTCCATAATTCAGAGAGGCCTGAAGATTGAAAACACATCAGATGGCAAAACCCGACCTGAACAAATACCCAGGTTAGGCATGGTGGGTCATGTCTGTTATCCCAGCACTTTGGGAAGCAGAGGCGAAAGGACTGCCTGAGCCCAGGGGTCTAAGACCAGAGTGGGCAACTTGGCAAGAACTCATCTCAACAATAAATCAAAAAATTAGCTGGGTGTGGTGGTGCGCACCTGTGGTTCCAGTAACTTGGAAGGCTGAGGGGGCAGGATCACCTGAACAGCATGGTGTCTGCACGTCAACAATGATCAATACATGGTCTCCCATACACTGTCAATCACCCCGAGACAACTGACACTGAACAGAACATAAATACAGTGTGAATAGTTGTTACACTGTGTTGTGTTTGTATTTCCTATCATTATATTATTACTACTATTATCTTTTTCAAATATTTTTGATCCTCCGTTGGTTTCGGCTGCAGACATCGAGCCCAGGAAGCAGAGGATCCAATACGTGTCAGTTAACATGTTGGAAAAGACGTGCCACATGCTTTACAAGAGGAGCAGACAGGCAGGAAGGAATTCCAAAGACAGCAACTGTCTACAGGGGCTGCAAGGCAAGTGCCCTGACGATTTGTGATGCCTCTGTATTACTGCAGTGGTGGTATTTCAAATTCAGAGAGCCACTCTCGCTAGAAAATATTAGAAAACATTGTGGGTAGTTTTTTTACCACGGATAAATAGGAAAAAAGTAGAAATGCTGTTTCTACAATTGAAACGTAAGATGTCAATAATTAACTACAGTGAACTCGTGTGCTTATTCTAATAACTGAACTTGAATTTTTTTCACAATTACCACTGCTCTTTATTTGATGGAAAAGAAAAACTGCCTGTGTTCATTTCTGAAAACCCAAGATTGGGCTGTATATGACCACAACAATGAAAGTGCAGCCTGCCTCATAATAAATGCCACTGCGGCCTATCAACTAAAAAGAACTGCCTTGAGCCTTAGAGAAGTAGTTGGCTAACTGTCCCACCCCAGGGCTCGGCTATGACTGGGTAGCAGTTCCTATCTCTAGCATTTAGTTTAGTTACTCATCCGATGCCGACTGATGCTGCCGATGGTTCAGATTTCAGTTTCTGGAGCCTCGCCCAGACACCGTGAGATGCCACCAGCCACCACAGTATGAAAGGCCTTCCCGCCAATGTGCAGCAGGCCACCCTCTGTGCACCAAAGCCCATTTCTCTACTGGAGCTCTCGCCTGGGTTCTTTCATTCTTTCTTATATGCCAGAGTACAGTTATAGCCAGAAAGGAAAAGTGAAAGACTGACCTCCTTTGCATGTTAAGAAAGTAAAGTCTGGTTTCTTGCTGAGAATTACAGTCTCCTTTCCCTAAATATGAATTTTAAGAACAATAATGATTCAATTGCAGTAGGAAGCCCAAAGCAAGCAGAGACAGGCAGCATCTGAATCATCTGGGCACTTCTTGGAAATAAAAAATCCTGGAACCACCTTGCATTCCCTAGATCAGAGTCTGCATTTTAACAAGACCCCCTGGTGATTTCACACATATGAGAGTTGGAGATGCCCTGACTTAGAAGAGCAAGACCATCACAAAGATCTGAAGACAAACAGGAGCAAAACGGAATCTCTCTACCTTCACAAACACAAAACCTGTCCATGGAGGGTGGCTCCGTGCAGCATAGGGCTGCCGGGTCGGCATCTGGTGATTTCTCCATGTGACCTGGGAAGTCTCGTAGGATCTGTTTTCTCATTTGTAAAATAAGCATAAACACATCTTCCCAACAAAATCAGCCAGAAGATTCAGTCAGTCGCATGAGAAGCATGTGAACCAAATGGGAGAAGACCAGGTCCCTGCAACTGACAGTCCCAGTTCTCCAAATGCTGCCGCAGCTTGGGTAGCCACATGCAGGTGGGTAAGGCAGTCACAGGTTAGGACAGCTATCTTGGCGGCCCTTCCTTCCTGAAGGTGTGCTGGCTGAGACAGCAAATGCCCCTGTTGCCCTGTCAGCAGCTGGCGCACTGAGCGCCTCGTGGGCCCAG